ATTAGAAACACTTTGTTCAGCAATAATATATAATGTATTCTGTTATGATATTAAAATGTCAGAAGTTACACTAGCCAAATCAACAATGGGTGCGTAAATTTTAGAAAAAGTACTTTTTCGTGACCTACCCTTCTGAAGAATAATCACTTAGTACTGAAAATGTGTACGAATTTATCATTGATTGTGTTATCTAACATGTTCCATTTTTCGTTGACTGTTGCTTTGAGTAGATCAAAAACTTTACCTTTAACAAGACCTCCTCTTCATTGGCAATTTTTTCTTGGAATCATGTTGTTGTCAGAGATCCGCACGGGCCGAAAGTTTTTGGCTCGGTCCGGCTCGGCCCGACCAATCATGAAACTTTTCTGGCCCGGTCCGATCCGACGACTTTGCGTTTTTCGTCTTGTATCTGTAATGCTTCTGCTAGCTAAGCGGTGTAAATGTATTTCTCAAGCTAATATTTATATTTTTATGATTTGGTACTGGATATACACATAAATTACAAATCCACGCATGCCTAAAAATTCTAAGTTCAGCCCGGCCCGTGCTGATCTCTGGTTGTTTTTGCGCTGAAATGAGTCAAATTTAACTTAAAAGGAAAATAATTGTATTAATCGATCAATAAAATCTGTTTTTTTGAATAAAAATGAGTTTTATTCATTTATTAGTATAATTATCGTAAAACGAGATAAGAATTGATGCAGATCACAATTAAGTTGAACTGCGGACGAGATTGTTTGTAGAGTAATGAAAAAAAACATGACAAGTTTCACATATCTCAAATATTTCACTTTCTCTTCTTCAGTTGATTATCATCGACAGAATGAGACAGCATGTGAAATGATCAATAATGTTCTTGAGTCAATGTTTTATGATCAGTTGCCATCAACCAAAACACAAAGCATCGCTACGTCCTATTCATTATTAGCAAATTTAGACCGTTTATTAACAAATTATTTAACATTTTCATTATTGAATTATTCAAGAAGCATCGATGCTGAAAACAAAACTACCACGCAAGACACTTCATCAGCTGCAACATCATTATTATCACTCCCAGTAAATCAAATGTTAAAACCATTAATTTACATGTCTACTAATACATTAGAACATATATTGAATTATATTTATCAATACAATGATTTACTAACTCCGAAAATATGGCATCATCTATTTACACTATTGTTTTATACAAGTATAAATAAACAATCTGCATACCACATGAAAACAAAATGGTTTAATGAAACAGCAGATACAGTTTTTATTCATGTTCTGTTTCAATTTTTTAAAGCATCATATGAAATGTTTGATGAAAATACATTGGAAATGATAACCAATTATTTGGAACGATTATTTATGTGCGAAGAACAACAAAGTGAAACTATCAAAGGAAAACGTACAGCAGGTATGGAATAGTGCTAATCTCTAAGAGTGTTGAATAGTATGTCTTTATCTATTGTTTTGTGTAAATGTTTTAGAAGAGTCGAATCCAACTGTAACACAATCCATCATCGAACAAAATGTTTCGTGTAATCGTTTGTATTTAAATTCATTGATTACAATCTTAAATCGTTTTATAACCGATAATTTTTATATGATTAATGGTCCGTTGAATTGTCATTTGAAATTATTGAATTATTATTTAAAAATTGATTTTACTAATGCTACTGTATCGAAGAAAACAATATTAATCAAAAGTATAATTGATTTTGTTTGGAATTATATTCGTTATTATTCAACTTTAAATTTTACATTAAACAATGTTCATCCACTCATGTGCTTTCTTAATTATGATAGAAAACAACGTTTGTTGCCATCCGTCCCATCGTCAACAGTATGTAACCAACATTCTACAACAAAAATATCATACAAACCTCCAGCATCAATGACACCCGCAGCTGCGCAAATGAATAATTTACCAACGTCATTGAACCCCAAATCAACGTCAAAACATAATGGTTTAAGAGAAAATTGTGTAAGACAATTAGTTATATTTATGACAAAATTGATAAGATCACAACAAGACAATATAAACGATATAGCATCAACAACAGAACATACACTACAGGAACAGCAACAACGAAAACGTTTTAAGCGGTATGATGATAATGAGACTGATGACGATCTTCAGGAGTCGAATATGGAGAAAAAAGAAGAAAATATACCGATCGCTACAAGTGAACAACAAGAGGTTAGTGCCTTTTTCTTTTAAATTCTTACATAATGAAAGCTTTAGAGAGTAGAGGCTACTAGCTTCAAGTATCACTTCGATTTTGTTTTGAAGCCTACTTTATGATGGATAATTGTTTATGCCAACAAGAATCGGACGTTCATTCGGCCCTATATGGCCTTTTAGAACTTCTGTTCAAATCTCCAGAATCTTATTAGGAACCTTCGTCTGAAAAGACTATGTTTAGGCATCCACCAGTTATGGGCGATTGTGTTTTGAAGTATCAAGAAAAATTGTTATAACACGGTTATTAAGAATCATCTCGACTTTTTTGAGAAACGTCTCATTTTGGTCTATCTCTTTGCACCGAGCAGAAAAATCAAAGGATAAACAGCGAAGTATTTTTAACAAATTTCTGAAGAAACACGAATAGTTAGATGACTGGTGATCAGTATCACGCACAGTTATGGTATTCTAGATTATTCCTATTTGTGTCACAACTAAGCTTAAACTTTTGTTTGTCCAACAAATACGTAGAGCAAATATATCTCTACAAAATGAGACGTTCCGCAGCTCGAAATAATTTTTAATATTCACCTTATAGCAATTTTCCTAGATGTTGTATATAACTACTAATAGTGTATGTCTAACTCTGTCAGAGCTAACTTGTACAGCACATCAGGTTACCTTTGCGTATAAGTTATTGGAATTAATGACCAGATTCGTGTTTAACATAAACAATTATTTATCAGTAGGTAGTAAGTTTCAAGAAAAAATTGATGTGATACTTGCAGAGCTACTTTCATAAGCTTTGCGATACAAGTCAGTCTTAGTAAGAACAATTTTGATTTAGGAGATGGATTTATAAGATAATCGAAGTAAGATCTATTTTTTTCTCTTCTTTTAGTCATTTGTACTTGAGTGTGCCTATATTGAAAAATTATTATCAATTTTGAGCGCTTGTCATTCAGCAATTGACTTATCCTCCTCATTATCCACATCAATTAAATTTCTAGCAACAACACTTCTAACGAATGATAATGACATCGACAAACACAAATCATTTCCTTATCCGTCTTTTGTTCATATTACAATTCGATTGAATTCAAATGATTTATTATCAATTGGTGATTGTATCTATTATTGTTTAACGTCGTACGTTAAAAATTCTGATTATATTGTGCCAATTGTTTGTAATTATTTATCTACTTATCCGTTGATATCATCACCATTGGTACTCTATATTATACTTATTTTACAAAATCATAAATGCTTAATTGATGCATTGAACAAATATCCACTCTTTCAAATATTAATTAATGGTACTATTAGCGCAAGTAAATATTTCTTACAAACACGTTCAACGATTATACCAACAATACAACGTACATATGATATGAGAAAAAATTTACAATTAACATTAGAAAATAATAACAGTAACGCTGCTAGTACAAATGCGCACTCTCACCTTCCACTAAATACCTTTCCACAATACATCCCATTGTTTAGTAACCCATTAGTGCCATCCACAGGAACTGCTCCTATGAAATATTTACAAGTTGTAGCACAAGGACAAAATTCTCTTGCGTCAGCTTTAGCAGCGCCATCAAACACAAATGGGCAGAACACATTACCATCCACTTATTACTTAACAACAGCAAATAATATTTCGAAACCGAAATACGATGCTTATGGTAATTATTCACACAAATACTCTTCACCAACTTCACTACAAACTGATCAACAACAGTTAAGTGCGCCACCACTTGGCTTGATCAATATAGCAGCAGAAGGACAAATAACATGTACAAATCCAAATTCATCACCACCTGATGTACTTATATCAGCAGCAACAACTCTCACATCACAAACACTTCGCCGTATGAGAACATCTCCATGGTCATATCAGTTTTCAGCAAGCGAAGAACGTTGTACGTTAATACTCCATTTTCCACGTGTTTATACAATTAAAAATATTGTTATATCAACATTCACACAAATTGCAATAAATCAGTGGGGAACAGCGGGTAACGTAGGCTTAGGGACAGGTGCATCTGTAGCAAATAATTTTATTACCGATGGTGCGCATGGAAATACAACAATGATAAATAATAGCCAATCACCATCAGGTAAGGATAATGTGTACACTTAAAAATATGGTTGTTAGCAAAGTACTTAAAAATGCTCTAAATTTTTTATAATTACTAAAGTGAGATGAGATAAGTTACCAAAAAAAATAAATTTGAATTGTTTTTTGACAACTAAATATTTTTACATTAAATATCATTTTTTAATAGCTGTCAGCGTCGAAATATCGAAAGATGGTTATTATTTTGTGCCATGTGGTGTACCATTACTTACTTATGGACTTCAGACAATTGATATCTCGCTGACACAACCAGAAATTGTGAAAAAAGTACGTCTTAATTTATATAAACCATATGATCAGGATACAATTGGTTTACAACAAATATCTTGCTACGGTATGTTAACTAGTGAAATTTAGTTATTATTTTAAACTTTTTATCATGTTTTAGGTTATTGTGCGTACGATCAACAATCGTTAATACAACAATGTTTATCATATCCAACGCTGACATCAACCGTTTATGGAGTATCACAACCACATAGGTAAATAAAATTGCCTTTAAAATCTAAGTGTATTCTCTCTGCTCAGTACATCTGTATAAAAGTCTAAAATAACATCAAAATTAGTACTGTTCAAAAGTTTCGGATTAGTAAACGCATTGTTTTCTGTTTTAGTAACAAACAAAAATCGTCTAAATCAAGTGTAATTACACCGACATGGTCATCCTATGATACTGAAAGTAAAATGATATACTCATCGTTTATAAAAGCCAGTCAACAACAACGACAACAAAGTCAAATTGATAATAGTTCAATTCAAACGATGTGTACAAGTGATGAATTACGTTCATGTCTAAATTGGCTAAAATTATTGCATGTGTGTATTTATCGTCAACAACAAGGAGAAAATCATGAACAATTCCTTTCGTCTATCAGTGATGAATTTTTATATGTTTGCTGTTGTCTGTTAAACAACAATATTGATATTAATAATGAAATGTTAATTGAACGAATATTAATTCATTTGGGAAATTATTGTTGTACAAGTGAGAAGTTGTTATATATGTACGATTTATTATTTGATATTTCTATGAAAAAAGAATCTATGATAATTAATCGTATTATTTACATCATGAATGAATTAAAATCGGATAATTATATTATTTATTTATTAAAAAAACTAGTTAATTCGAATATTGACGATATTCCATCACAAGTATTGCATACGTTTGCTTGTATTCTATGGAGGCATGACAAAAATGATGAGTTCAATGAGTTATTAGCCATTAGTCAAATGTTAATTGAAAAATGTTTTAATCATCTTATGTCATCGATGATCTCACTCTCGGTTAGTCAATCTGTTGGTTGGATATTATGTGCATTTGGTCGACTGTATCCAAAACTATTGATTGAAAAACTGATTCAACTTCAGCAATCTTCGGTTTCTGTACTATTCGAATTATTAAAATATTTGTCACAGAGTATTGTATTCTTAAATGAATTTATACAAACAGATTTATTTTCGCAATTAGTTCAGCATCTACATAGCCATATTCAATACATTATCGATGCTAACTATCATGATTTAAATGAAAATTTAATTAATAATGGCCTCGACTATTTTATAGAAATAAGTCGATATGCTGTTGTCCAACAATGGTTTTCTCAAACACCGAAAGCAATCGAAATATGGCAGAATTTATTAAATTTGTTATCAACAAACACTTCCTATACATCACTAGCATTATTAACAAAATCAATATCTTTATTGAATAATCTATCATTACCATCTCCGACAAATATTGAGAATATGCAATTAATTGCTAAATATCTAACGAAACTAACACACAATCGTCTCATTGAGCACCGATCCTTAATTGGCTATATCCAATATATTCTGAGTGAAATCATTCTAAATGATGAAAAAGTACAATTGTATATAAATACTTTTGATTATCAAATTGAACAAGCAAGAACAATAAAAAGTTATTTAGATCATCCATGTTTCGGTACTGGTTATAACCATTTTCTATTCAAAGATGTCTCAGTGACAATGACTATGGAACAATTAATACAAAAATTATTTGGTGATAATTATTTACAAGCAAATATTTGGACGACAATGAATTATTTACAAAGACAACAACAACAGGCAAAATTAAATAATATTAACGGTCAACAACAACAACAAGTAGAGAAGGAGACAGAAAAGGAAAAAGATAATAATAGACGTCAACAATTAATTAATAATAAATCGTCGTTAACATCATTCAAAGTCTTATCATTGAAGTCTGTGGTAAGTGTAATGTCAAATCAATCATTCTGTTAACTTAAGTACGACGCAAAAAGGCATCTCAATGATCGTCTATAATCGAATTAAAATACTGTTTAGTTTTCATTCTGTCTTTTTTCATTTGACTCTCAAAGAGTTAATACTGTACAAAGTATTCATGACCTGACTAATTCAAATATAATCGCGACTTTCAACTGTTACTGTAAAAACTATTTTAATATTTTTGATCTTACATTTATGAGTTGTTATCTCGAGTATTTTGACTTTTACCATTGTAGACACTAATTTCAATGCTCTGATGATTCATCCATTCTAGGCAAAAAGTTTAGTAAATACATCATCATCGGAACGCGCATCAAAACAAACATCAACAAGTTACAGCAAACAAGATGATCAACAATCGCAATTGTTCCTGGACTATGTTCATTTTATTCTCTATGTTGACAATCAACCACGACAATTTATTGTTCCGAAACATTTACATCTTAGAGAATTATTATTATCATTTAATTGTCGTTCATCAGATGAATATTCTGCTGATGTTCTCCGTTTTTGTTTTCACAATCATTTTCTTCCAGACTATTCGACAACTATAATTAATGGCGACAAAAAAATTATTCAAATAGAGGAAAATGAGCAGGTATATAATAAAATATTGATTAGGGTGTGCAGTTTATTTGTCTATTAAAAACTGATCGATGCTTGATAACTATCGAACATCTTAAAATAATCAGAACGTACTACTATGAGTCCTCCGACCATTTTATCTTAGCTGTAATCATCGTGTTTCACTGAATTTTTATCTTTCTATAGTTGAATCATTAAGGTGTTAATAATAACTTGTTTTATCTTTTTTTATAGAAGGAAAAGAAAAAAGATGACCAGCAACATTTGTTATCATCCGATAAAGATTATTCAACATTATTAGACATATTTATCTCGCATGATGGTTTAAAAATATTAGCTCAACATTTTTCTGCTCATTATCCAATAATTCAATGTTTTGACGATGGCCTGAATATGTCATTTGATAAAATTGATTTTTTTGATTTTTCATCATTGTTAACTTCGTCGTCAACGCCAGCGAATATTTCATGTGCTGATATGCCACATTATGTTTTCATCACATTTTCTATCTTCTTACGTTTACCAAATTATGCTAAAGAAATGTTAAAAAATCGTTCATTAGCCTGTACTATAATTCGTTTAATGTTGGGTCAACAACAGTCAACAGATCAACAAAATCAACAACAGTTTGATATGAGACAACTATCAAAATTACCATTCGAAACTTTGTCCACTCTACTAAAAAATGCATCGAGTGAACTATTGAATGATATATTTCATTCAAACATCTTGTTACTCTTATTATCGTGTCTCTCGTCGATCACACGCCATCCACATCGAAAACAAATTAAAAAACAAATGATTCATGAAGACGACTCAACAATTCAAACTACAATATATGATGAAGATTCCGACACAGATGAGAATGATATGAACAATTTAACAATAGTAAATCATAGTCAACATGTAGCTGAATCAACCAATATTCATCATCCATCCCAAACTAATCAAAGTTTTTGGGCTAAAGGAACAGGTTTTGGAACTGGTACCACGGTATCAG